GGCAGAAGCGGAAAACCTCAAGAGAAGAGGCAGATGAGTGCTTGAAGGGAGTCAAAAATCAGCTTGGAGGCTGAACATTCGAGTTACCTGCGAACCATAATCTGCCGTTATGTTAGTGGATAGTAGTCGTCCTTTTCTGCTTTAATCCCTGACGGACAGACAATTCATGAGAATGAAGTTCTATTTGGAGGCATACACATGTACCAAACAGTTCACCTTGTTTCAAAACTGAATTTTTATGAATAGAGTCGTTTTTGTCTTGTACATTTATTTGTATTATATTTTTATACATTATTTTCCGTTAACGATGTAGTAAAAGGACTTCTGCGTCGAATCCTCAATCGAGGAAATATATTTGAAACGTTTCTCGCTTTCTCAACACAAGAGCACAGTAGCACAGTATATTATGCACACATAGCACAGTATATTATGTACAAAAAGTATAAAAACATTCGATAGTTAGCATCTAAAAAGGCTTTAAAAAATACAACTCATAACTTCCGATCCTTCTATGTAATCATTTTATGAAATGGGGCGAGAATATCCCAGCGCAGCACTTCTAATTGCGAGTTCGTAAAAGCTCGCCGCTTAAAACCATCTGACAGTTCAACGCGCCTCCCCACACAGATATTTCATCGCTAAAAGGGTCCCGAGCGGGGCAGAAATCCCAGGGCAAACGACGCGGCGGGTGGCGCGAGTGGGGGAGGACGGGAGGGGGCGCTGACGGCCGCACGCGCGCCGTACGGCAGCGAAGGCGACGCCGGTGGCGGTGGCCGTGGCGTCGATGGCGACGCGGCCAAGAATAACAGGACCCGCCCGCCGCCGCCGCCGGTGCCGTCGTGCCGCCATCGATCACGACGCGTTATGCCGGCCGGCGGCGGATCCGTTTCATTGAGGGCGCCGCGCTCCATTGTCCGGGTCACGTCCGTCGCGCGAGCTCGCGCGGGAGGCGCTGAGCGCGCATACATTAGGCGGCTGAGGCGGCGGCGGCGGCGACAGCGGCGGCGGCGGCGGCGGGCGCACCTGCCAGGTAGGCAGCCCCCGCGGCCTCGCGGCGCGGCGGGCTGCGTGCCGTCCCCGCCCTGCGCGCCGCCATTAAAGCGTCTGCCGACGGCGACGCCGTCACTCCCCCGCCCGGCCCGGCCCGGCCAGGCCCGGCGCGCGCGGTTATTAAGCCTGGTGTCTCCGCAGACCTTTGCTTTCCTTGTCTTCGTTTCGTGTCTCTTTCGATCTTCCGTTGCAACCCATAGGATTTCTGAAGCAATTGCCCTCACGGCGCTTACGTTTTACCATGAGATTCTGTTGCTCTATAAAGAGCCCCACCCATCACAGCTTCGTTTGCGGCACATCCGCGATATGTTTACATCCTACTGATTCGTTTCAACAATGTCTTGTCTTGCCTCATTATATTCGGTTGCTCCTTCTACAGCTATATTCGTCAGAATTCTTAAGAAAGTAATATCTACCTGTTCAATTAAGTGAATTCGCGTTTTTACGAGATTTAATTTTTGGAGGTTGACTGCCAAGTCCTGAGATGCATCATTGACCCTGCCTCGACGGGGAAGGTCGCGCTGCGCGCCGGGGAGCGCCGCGTCGCTTCGCCCAGGGCTGTTTGCGCGGGGGCGGGGCGGGGCGGGGCGCAGGAGGGCGGGCCGCGCGGCCGCCGCGGCCTAACGGAGCCGTCAGCCGCGCGACGGGGTGTTAATGCGCGAGGTTCAGGGTCGCGGCGAAGCGCGCGGGCGGCGGGCGGGCGGGGGGGGCGGCTCTCGAGAGCGCCGTCGTCCTCTTTTGCGGCTGCCGCGCCGATGGAACGTAGTTTCCGAATTCCTCGGGCGTCGGCGGCGGGGAGCGGTTTGGGGTGGGAGGGCGGGCGGAAGTGGGGCGGAAAGGTGTGTACGCGAAACTGAAAGAGGCGTCGTTGCCTGGAGCGCCTTACAAATTCCCTGCCCTCTGTTTCATGACGCGCGACGTGACCGGTCTATGAGACGGCGCGGGGCCTAATTCCCGCGCTGGAGCGGAGGTGTCGTAAAAGCACGCGTTCGTGCTTGGGAACCTTCACGGTCAATGGGTCGGAAGGGAATACTATGGGCAAAGAAATGAATGAAAGGTGCGGGTACTAGCATCCTTCCTATCTGTTCGTATTCTTTCTTTACTCACTTCACTCATCTAAAAGTCTTTTCCTCGACGGTACAGGTAACAGGTAACGTCGAGTGGAAATCGACGGTGGTGAACAATGTCAAAAATTTATCAGAGGTCACATCAGTCTCTACGGGCAGCTATTCATTGGCAAGAAAAAAGAATTTAAATCATATTAAAATGATCCGTTTTAAACATTCCGATCGTTAAAAGAAAAGGGCAAAAGATCAACAACTAGATTAGAAATTATTTTCCCATTTAACAATAAACCTTTTTGTTTGAAATGTTTTTCGCATTTTGTACAGAGGTGAGCGTTTTGGGTTTTCATGTTTTTCATAATCATTCTGAACTATGACACAAATCTTTACTTTTGCGTACGAGGCTTACATTTTTTGATTTGTATTTGCAGACCTTGATAGAAACTAGTGTCAATTAAGCTTCTAGAGAAATGTTGATAAAAAATAACGAATGTGTATTTAATATAATGAAAGTTAAAATCAGTGTTACGGTGTTCAAATTTTGACTACAGATGTGCCTTGGCTTAAAAAAACAATAGTATTCACCCTATCTGAAGTTTTGGGGCTTAGATAGGACAAATTGTTACCTTGCATTTCTAATTCATACAAAATCACAAATTTTCATATTAACCCCCTTTAAGTGCAGACTGAGTTTGATAGAAAAAATGTTTAATTAAGTGTTGTTTTACAGAAATAAATTTTAATCGAAATATCAAACGACATTATCACAAAGCAGAAGATTTTTGGGGAATTGTGTCCCGTTCTACATACGATGAATGCTTGGAAGAGTTGTCCGTCCTGTATTCATTAAAATTATTAGTAAAATACAATGTTCCATCAAAATGTCACTTAAACTTATATGAGTTCTATCAGATACGTGAAATATTTTCTTTCATTACACATTGAGAACAATATAATTTTTTCCCGTGAATTTAATATCTTTGTGCTATCCGAAAGAGAGAAACTGTTAGAGAGTTCCTATTGCAAAATTAAGTTAGCTTTGGAAAGCCTAACCCTATGAGAGCTATCTCAGCATAAACTAACAAATATGGAAAATAAAAACGCTGTTCTATTCTAATTCAGTCATCTTACTTGCCTATTGAAATTCAGATAAATATTTCAGGTTAAAACGACCTGAGGGTACACCCATTGAATAAAAGCAGTTTGACTCAAGCCTTATCTTAGAATAATCTTGACGTTTATAATGTGTAGCTTGAAAAGTATCCTGTTCTCTCACACATATCGAGTACTACATATCTGTGCATGTTCTATAGTTGTAGTCGTACCTGCATCGTTGTCCTTTTTGTATTGATATTATTTTCCACAATAGAAACCAAACAACATTTAAAAAAAAGATTTACTTGAACTTAAATGTTCCATTCTACAATTAAAAAATGTTAATCTTCACTATAAATGAATGCTTTTTGACTTGCATTATTTTGATTCATTGTGAATTACGTATCAAACGAAGTAAATTGTCTAGCATAAATGATCGATGGATGAATATTTCATAACGGGAGCAACTTTTGGACTTCAAAATATCGTTGAACTTGAAAGACCTGATAATACTGTATTAGAAGAAGTCTTACCAGTTCTTTCACGGACAAGTTCAGAAAATTCAAGTTCACACACAAGGTTCAAGAGATAAATAATGCGTATATTGCCAAGCATATTTTGAAATTCAATGTTTGAGAAACTTACAAATATAAAGAAATAAGATTCTTTAATAACATTTTCGAAAGCCGTTCAGATGGGCGAGATCCTTTGAGTAATAGTACCCTAGCGTTTTTGGACCAGAAGACCGCGAGTTTGAGTACCGCTTCGGGCATGTGTGCATTTTTACGTCTATATGTGTGTGCCGTCCTTTCACCCTTCACAATCATTATCATCATCATCATCATCATTATCGTCAATACCCCAGGGCTAACAACCTTGGGGGATAAAATGGGGATTCAGCTAAATTTATGACCCCCCCCCCCCCCAGAAAGGTACTTGCACCTGCTAACAGACAGGATGCACGCGTGATGAGAGTTGGCCTAAACGAAAAAATAACTTCTTCGTAATTTAAGATTTTTAGTATAATGCAGTTTATCAATATTAACTGGGTAATTTAACTCTAACTTTTTTAAAATTTTTATTAAAATTATCATAAACGTACATTTCATTAATTATGAATATTTAATTATTCTTAATACGCAGTTAATTGTTCTACATAATTTTCGTATTTTGGTAAAAGTCACAATTTTGGAAATTATCACAATTTCAATAGAAAAGTAAAGAAAAATATTTATTTGTTCTGAAACAAGTGATGAAGATTTTTTCCAAGTTTGGAAGCTTTGTGGTAAAACATTCAAAAATTCGACGTTTTGAGAAGACAATTTTTGTAGACGCTCAAAATTTGTAACAGAAAACTTTCATCACCCGTCAGAAATTTAATCAAGCCAATGAGATCTAACGACCCCTTGTTAAGCATTATTTTAGTTTCGCTTACTTTGGACTACTATTTTGGACACTACCTAGACATCTTGGACCGCGCGCCATCTTTTCTTCCTAATTATATATTCTCCCTTTACACACTCACACTTACACTTACATGCACATCACGGCCACCCATGATGGCGGTGGCTTAGAGCTTGTCCTGGCTGAAATGGTACCCCTCTGGGGAGAGATACCTAGAGGCGGAATTCCCACAAGCCGACGTGTAGATCGGCCCCGGATCTCACTATCCAGTGAGGAGGAAATCACCACCACCATTCGCGCTAACATTTATTACACTAACAGGACTAACGAACACATCAATTGATGAACCCGCAAACATCAATCCAATAATCGAGCGTGTGTCCGCAGGTCATCCACTGCTCGGGCTACCTCAAAGTGAAGCAGTTCGCGCTGGAGGCGTCGCCGTACGACTCCTGCTACCAGAATGTGGGGCTGGTGGCGGTCGGCCACTCGCTGCCGCCCAGCGCCATCACCGAGATCAAGCTGCACTGCAACATGTTCATGTTCCGCGCCAGCCTCGACCTCAAGCTCATTTTCCTGGACGCCAGGTGAGAAGCCGCCCCTCGAATGCGCCACGTTTACTGGCAGATTCACCGAATATTTGCCGATTGTACTTCCTCTCTCGATAAAAATTCGGATTTCTTGGGTTGATATGTTATCGAATGTTACTTTCAAAAAGCGTGCAAACGGTTGTAACTCGTAATATCTATCTGCTTTTCAACGAGTACCATTTTCGTCAGCATAGAATATTTCGTCCACAATGAACTTGACCTAAATTTCTCGGAGTGGAAAGTGTAATACATTATTACAGTAAAGAAGTAATACATATTCTTAGTAAAAGACAATATAAGCAATAAATACTTATTCAAATGAAATCAACAAACTAAATCTTGAAATAATGCCAGAAACACAGTGTCATTGACATTATTTTTTGTTATGCCTAACAATAAATCTTCATACTCTTTAAACCTCCGTAAACGTCCGAAGCAACCCTCCGTATGCGTTTTTTGCTTTTGCTTCTATCTCTTCTGTAATATTTTCGCTTTTCTCCATTTGATTCTGCCGCGGTCGCAAAAAACCGCTAACAATGACAAACGAAGATCGCGTTGCCAGAGATCCAATCAAATTTCAAACCGAGTCAACTTAATATCTAGTTAATTTGCAAATACGTATAAATGAATAATTAAAAGGAGGTAAAAATAAAATTTTGTATGTACCACGGGCATTAACTGGATCTAATGACCTCGTGCGACAAAAAGCCCCCTGGTCAAAGGCCCTCGGGCTTTTTGTCGCTGCTCGTTCATTAAAACCTTGGTGCATAAATGACTATTTTCACGATGACAAGATAGTTCGTCATGGCAACTATCTTTTTTAATGGATACTAAGAAGTGACGAACTTCACGTACGGCTAGCGATGAACAGAAGTTGCCGCCTTTGAGCAGCTGCAGAAAAATTCAATATTTAGCACTCGTGCTAAAAGTGAGACGATGCTCAAATATTTCGCCCTGGGGAAGGTCGCAGAATGGCGACCGAAACGTCGGCCCCTTCGCCATGGACGCGGCGTCACCCGGACAGCCAAGTAAATACTGACTCCGGCCGCGGAAGTCTACGCTCTCAAGATGCTCAAATGTTCAGGTAAAACTGAATGAAAGAAAGAGACAAAGAAAACAAATAACATGATCAACTACTACTGATCTGAATGTAACATAGCACTCAAATAAGTGATTTGTATAGTAATTTGAATTTTAAAAAAATAATCAGTAAATGTCTAAAATAGAGTGTATGACGCACATGATAAAAGCGATTTTATTTTGCCCTTAGGATTACGTAACTCAGCCTATCGGCCTCGTATTGCAATCTTTCCTACTTGAATAATGATACGTCCCTTTTGCCACTCACATCGTAAATAACTATTAGCTAGTAACTGGTCTTTCACCGTTCAAATAGAACGCCTCATGAACACGAGGGTAATCCTCCTCTCCCGTATTCGGTGCCTCTCGGAAGAGGTGTCTGGACAGAACGATTGGAGCGGCCCCTTCAGGGGGAACGGTGAGGGGCGGGGGCGGGGACGCGAGCACATAATGGTCGGCGAGGGGTCGGCGCGAAGCAGCTGTCGCTATCATTCAGTGAATCGCATTAGGCTCCCCCCGCACAACAGCCAATTCCTTCGATTACTTAAGCCCTATTACACCCGCAGCTCGGCGGTCGCGATTCAGTTAGTGCTACCCCTCGCTCCTTCTCGACGAATCCAAACCAATCTCCAGAGATTTTCTTGTAGCAGGAAAATCGTAATACGCGAAAGTCCCGAGTTAATTATCATGCCGAGGGGTCAGTTGCCAAACTATGAAAGAAAAATATAAACATTACTTTCAAAATGGAGACTTTTAAAATAAAATACATATTATTAGTCTAATCTACAAAAAGAAAAAAAAGGATGAAGAATGGTATCAACAGAAATAAAACCAAGATTCCTTTACGTTGGACAAGCGTAAAATATTTTTTCAACAGCGACATATTGAAGATTGAGGAATCGATGAACAGACATCTTAATAAAAATTATAGTTTCAAAAAATATGAAGAATAAGTGTCGGAGTTTGTTTAATTTATAATTTTTATTTTCTAGCTACTGCTTACTCAGTAGAGAGGAAGGTATGTAATGCTACACCGAAAAAACTTATTACAGGGCCCCGGTAAATCCAGTTGATAAATTTAGAAAAAAATCTCTAATACGTAGTGTAGCAAGAATACTTGTTTTGTGGGTCCTTGATAACAAAGAATCGAATGACGGCAAAACGTCTGCCAGTTAGTTTGTCAACAACGCTAGCGGAAGAATCGTTGAGGCGATTTTCTCCAAAATTGATATTTACCAATCGATCTGGCTGATGTCGTGGCCTCTTGAATTTGAAACCCATATTTTAGTTTTCGAAGGTACTTTACATGAAGCTCCTGGGACATCACACTTTTCAAAAAAAATTGCTCCATACTTTTTTACTAAATAGTGAATGAATACTGTGAATTCTACTTGAATAGTGTGAAAGACGTTTAAGAGAATGGTACAGGTCTCACGTTCGTTGAAAACTGAATTTTCAAAAATTGTAAAAATTCAAACGGTTTTGGGTGTATTCCTACAACTCCAATTATGAGGGTAGAGATTTTTTTCCTTAATGAAATCAGTGCTTAAAGATAGATTTTAAAATAAGGTAATGAATAATTTTTCGAAAATTTGATCACTTGTGTAATTTTGCTTGAAAGTACGAGCGAGAAAGTACGTTCTGTTATAGCACCACTAGTTTAATAAAGCAATATTCTGAGCAAGAATGTAGTCAGTACGCTATCTAATTTTTTTCAGAGTTGCCCAGCTGACGGGTTACGAACCACAGGATCTCATAGAGAAGACGCTGTACCATTACATTCATGGCTGTGACATAATGCACATGCGGTTTTCGCACCATACACGTAAGTTTATCCATTTCACGAAACTGTTTTTAAATATCCATATTTTACCTCTATACGTTCAGAGAAATTAATGATAGAGAGTTTGTTTTTAAGTAATTAAAATAATGTTCTCAACTTTATCATCTAATCAACTTTATAGAACGTAAGATTCATTGTTGTAATCTACTTAACAATACAATTGAAGAAACAAGACTGAATTAGAACACAATTGAAATCTTATTAATATGTGGCTCATTCCTTCATTAATCCTCATATCCTTCTTGGAAATATAAAGAAAGGTCTCCAAGCGCAAACAAATTGAACTGAAGAATTTAAATAAATATATTTTAATATATTTTATTGATTTTTTAGACATATTATGCGTAATTTATTTTATCTTAGATTGGAATTTCAATTTTAAATAACCCCATTATTTTGATGTTTCTGTTCGTTGGCGTACAATAAATTAATAACATCGTCACTGTCTCTCGACGAATTTTGTTAGAGCTGTTTACACAGATTTGTTTTTATTGCCCTTCTATTGAAATATTTTCACACGATGAACGTGCTACGTACTTCAATGAAGGGATAATGACACTGAAGATTAACAAAACAAAATCGACGAATAATTCATCCATAAAAACAATACAATGGAATTTGTTTTCACGCACCACATTTCAGAGTATTCATTGGTATTGTATCGAAATGTGCCACAGTAAGAATTAAATCCCACAGCAAAGCCTCATTACACACAAATGGGCGGGAAACAGCGGTGTTCATTTTGGCCAAGTTGCTGCACTAATGATACACTTATTGGTCGAATTTTCTAAATAAAAGAGAGGTTTTTTTATAGTACTCATGTAAAATTATTTAGATGAAATAAAAATGGTGTAAAAGAATCAAAGGAAGAGTATATATTAAACATTCATTTTATAAATGTACTTATCTTTATTAACTCCCATAATCAATATAGTTTGAATGACTACGTCATTTTTTCTCCACAAAAGAGAATGAAAATACATGATTGAAAATGAAGAAATTGCTGCACGTATAATAGTAGACTTACGAATGAAAGGTTTCAGTATGGTAAACATTTTTAAATTTGTTAGTTTCATAATGTTACAGCGAATGCGTGAAAGACCTCGCTGATAGGTAATTTCATTTCGAGACCATTTTTGTCTGGTGAAAGTATTTTATTGGTCCTTATCCCTCCCCATGTACATTTTCTGGAAATATCTCTGAAAATACCCTAATAAAACATGAAGCATCGACACTTATTATTTGGCCTCTATTGTATGTCTATTCCTCTCTCTCTCTCCGCCTCTCTCTCTCTCCGCCTCTCTCTCTCTCCGCCTCTCTCTCTCTCCGCCTCTCTCTTTCTCCGCCTCTCTCTCTCTCCGCCTCTCTCTCTCCGCCTCTCTCTCTCCGCCTCTTTCTCCACCTCTCTCTCACCGTCTCTTTCCGTCCCTGTCTCAGCCTGTCTGTCAATGCTTTGTCCCTCTCCTTGTCTGTCTCCGTTTCTCTATCACTGTCCAGCCTTTCTCCGTCTCTCCGTGCTTCTTTGTAGCTCTCTGTGTCGCTCAGCAAAAATGAGGACCAGTTAGAACGCTGAATGGAAATTGAATTAAAATGAAGCACAATTTGGTTTTGTAGTGCCATCTAGTGTTGTTACAAAAAATTAATAGCACATAAACCGTCTGGGTCAAAAAACACGTACCAAGAGTGTGCCGCTCTTATATCTTATGTATCCCAACATTCTGAGAGAGACAGAGAGAGAGAGAGAGAGAGACAGACAGACAGACAGAGAGAGACAGACAGACAGAGAGAGACAGACAGACAGAGACAGACAGACAGAGAGAGACAGACACAGAGAGAGACAGACACAGAGAGAGAGAGAGAGAGAGAGAGAGAGAGAGAGAGAGAGAGAGAAGATACGCCTGTATTGGTTGAAAATAGTATTTTCCCACACTTGAGTAAGTAATTTTTGACAAAATCACGAATTTGTTAATCAAGAGGCAAGAGCATAGAGTTCCTAAAGAGAGACTTACAAAGCTTACGGCGGGAATGAAATTCGCGAAATATAGACGAGCAGTACGAAGCAAGACTCAAATTTGAAAGAATTCCGAACACTTAGCATAATTTATTTAATATTGTTTTCAATTCATTTATGTATATGTATATGAGGCTTGACTGATCGCATACAACTTATATTCTATTGTACTGCTGCAGCGAGAAACTACAATTATTGATAAAATTGTATTTTGGACTCCTGATACTGAAAAGATGGATAATTCTTGTTTATATATATATATATATATATATATATATATATATATATATATATATATATATATATATATATACATGTGTGTGTGTGTAGTAAGTATCTTTCTCTAATAGATGTACTTCTAATATGTGACCTTACTAATTGTGAAGTCGGAATCTACGTCTTGTGGGTCCTTGATACTGAAAAATGGTTGACAGCAAAACGTCCGTCCGTCCGTCCGTCCGTCCGTCCGTCCGTCCGTCCGTCCGTCCGTCCGTCCGTCCGTTCGTTCGTTCGTCCGTCAGTCAGGCAATCAATAAGTCAGCAAATCAGTGAACAAATCGTAAGTGATCATTTATCAAAATTGTTATTTCCTGATCGATCTTTCTGGTGTCGCGGCCCTTGAACTTTTTTTTATTATCTACCAGTTCAATTACAATTTTTCAGGGTTTTTAATAATATATTATGTGTATAATGTGTGTGAGTGTGAATTTAAGAGGAAAGAAAATATCTGTTGAAAAAGTGATTTAATGCCATTGGGAATTGCAATTTAAACCTAGTTCGTAATGTTGGGAAGCGGAAGCAGAAGGGAAAGTTAGAAAAATGAATTGGTTTGAAGATTAATACAGTTTTTAATTTTCTCTATTTCACGTTCGCGGGGTATCTGTTTATTCAACATAAACATGAAACGGATATTATGAATTTTTAGGTACTTTACACTAAACTCCAACGACACTTTCAAAGTTTTATCAAAAATGGCTCCAAATATTTTCTTTAATTTTTTCCCTTTAATAAAGAAAAAAACGATACTTTCACAAAAATGACGTATTTTCTATTTTCGTTTAATTCTATGAATGTTTCAAAATTATGAAAGTTAAAAATTTGTTGGCGTCTTCTTAAAATTGCAGTATGAAGATAGGTGTAGATGTTTTCGTAATTAAATTGGTTCTTTAAAAATACTTTTTCAAATAAGATCATATACATTTTTGAAATATGAGTAGTTTTCGCATAATATTACTGCAATAAAAGCAAATTTTAAAAACAAAATTGTCTGTTTTGAAATCTGAATATCTGTCCGAATGTCTTCTTTACAATTTGAAAAACAGAGCGTTCTTTTACTTTTTTCTCGGATAGAGCGACGTACGTTTATAAAAATGGTGAAGGGCCGATTTTCGTTGAACGAATTTTCGAAAATTTCTGTATTGATAAATAAAGCGAGAAAATAATGTGTGCTATTGTTACACCAATAGTTTCAATTTCTTTTACTTTCAGAGTTGGTTAATCATGCTTACACCTACCTCGAAATGGCATTAAAATCTAAAAACACTAACACATAACGTTGGTGGCGCCATTACAATTCATCTTTAAGAATTATTTCGAAACCCAAACTACAATTAAGATATTTTCGCATCCTGCTTTGAATTTATTTTCACATATTTTTTTATTTTAGACATAATTAAGTAGCATCTTAAATTCTGGGCGCAAAATTACTTTCATTTTTATTACCGATCTTCCTTACACACAAGAGGTTTCACAGGTTCCATGAAATTAAGAACTTTATGGAATCCGACATGGAAAGAAAACCGAGACTCCAAATCATTGTGTATGACACTTTTAATTGTAATTTTGGGAGGCTGAAGCAACTTGTATATCGCGATCACACAATTAGATCGTTTTATCCGAGTTGATATTTTTATATATTGAATGTTTACAGAGAAAATGATGCGTAAAATTGCAAATGGTACTAAGGTATTTTCTTCGTGGAAGGTTTTCTAAAAGCGTGGTCTGACAACTGATTTACGTTTCACAATCGTTTTTTCTAAAAAGTCATATAGAATCTTGTTATTCGGAGACCTCAAATTAATGTAGATTCTTAGCAGACAATGCATCTGAGAAAGAAGTATGGAGTTCGGTGTACCTACTAGCTTTGAATTCTGCCACATGTCATTCCTCCCAGATAAACATTGTTATTTTTTCCATCAATACCATTCTCTTCAAAACGGCAATTGATGAGTAAGCTTGCAGAAAGTTCATTGTTCGTCCCCCTTGTGTATAAAAGCCATGAAAATGGAGGTGATATAGGGAAAAACGTTCATTAGTAGTGTCGCAGCGATTCCAGAAAAATATTAAAAACCTTTGCAGATGAAGAAAACACCCAAAACTGAAAACCACGACTGTATGTGAATTATTTTATTAATAGATTCCGAGTTACGTTCATTACGACTTTTACAAAGTGTTTTATCCGGCACAAAATTCAAACTGCGAACTTCTACACTGGGTTATAAACTCAAGGTGAGTTTAAAACAAAATTAGAATCCCATAAGATTGCAATGGATCACGTGACTTTCGTTGTGGCGTGGGCATCTACTGAATATTCGGTTGATTCGGTCTTCTTGAAATTTTCAGACAACACAAGAATATTTTGGTACTATTAATAGAAAAACACAATCGGTAGGACATGTTCCCTATGTCTGGACCCTGCAAATGATCCAATCATTTTCTTACTAGAAAGTTGCCAGGTTGTTGGTTTAATTCGATACTCCACTTAAAATTCTTCATCCAACACTTTTGCAAGATTATTACTCAAGCTTCCCGTTCTCGAGTTCGTGTGAATCATCATCATATTGGTTGAATATCGAGTCAAACTCGGTGCCAAATTATCGGGCTAAACCATGTCTCTTGCGGGTTGAAAGGGACAGTCATCCCTACCACTGTTCATCTCCAAACAGTACAAGAAAGGGAAAAAATCCTACACCCTTCCCCCTAATGCCACCCTTCACAGAAGCTCACTGTGGGAGCACCCTCACATCCCGAGTTGCCCGAGGCAGTAGTGGAGACCAACCCTTCTCGCCACTCTCATCCCTCACCACTCTACCCCCACCCCTACCTTCACAGCTCGTCTTCCAGCCTCCCCGCCCCGCATCACCAGAGAGAGATACCCTTTTCTCCGCCAGCTCTCATCCCCCTCACCACTCTACCCCCAACCCCCTACTTTCACAGCTGTTCTTCCAGCCTCCCAACTTCACAGCTCGTCTTCCAGCCTCCCGCCCGCATCAACCTTCTCCGCGCCGCTCTCTCCGTCCCACGCCGCGGCGACCGTTCCGCAACTCTTCCCTGACCGGCTCTGACTGCCCGGCGGCTCTGCTGCGTTTTCTTCCGACTCTCCCCGCTACAAGACCCGATCCTTCACCCGGCGACCCGCCCACCGCAGCTTAATCGTACCACCCCGCCCCGACCGTGAGCGCCGCGGGGCACCCATCCGCGCATCCACGCCTCTCACCTCGCTCCCCCCGGGATCTGATTGGCGCGGGCGGAACGCGGCCGCTCGGAGGCGGTGGCACGGCGGCGCCAGGCGAGGCGGCGCCCGCCTATCTGGTGGCCTGTTTGCGCAGCCGCTGGCGCCGGCCGCCGCGCTCGCCGCCCCTGCCCTCCCCACCCCTA